TGGTCCTGAATAAAATCAATTTATCAGAAGAGAATGCATCCAAATATTTATAAAGCTATTGGGTTTTAATTTTTAACTTCCCGTAGGGTAAGTTATAGTATTTTTTTTCTTTCAATTACAAAACACACAGCATTTAGAATGTACATCCAATTGATTTGCATTTGAATAACACTGAATTAATTCATCTGATTCTTCTGGCACATTACTATTTATACTATCAAAGATCCGTTTGAAACCTGGGAGATATTCTCCCAACTCCAAAGAAAGTGGCAGTTTTTGAAATTAGATATTGTAAGTATGTAATATCAAATGAACGTGCTTCAAAATTATTGGTAGGTAATATTGGTATAAACGTAAGGCGTGCAAATTTATTTTATTACACCTCAACAATAACTAATTCCTTGAGCTAATGGCATACTTAATTTTTACAATGCAAATAAGTGTTAAAAAAATTTACTTGAAATTCAACCTCGCTTGAGATTTCTTTTCGATGTTTGCGTTGCGCACTATGACTGTGATGCGTCCAAAACAATAGCACTATAGAGAATGTGTATAAACAGTATTGTAAACATAAAACCGATCCATTTACGGGATGACTGGGTAATTGGAAGTACTATTTCAAATAAATATTAGTTAGCTATAAAATAGAAGTATTCGATTAAAACTTTTTGATTGAGTCTTTATCTAGTGCATTAACGAATACACTAATAATAATGCAAATGCAAAAATATTAAATACATAACAATAATAATAGTAATGAGTATAGCTGCCCTAGAACAGGTCCATGAGAAGAGTTAAACTCCAACTCAATTCGGAAAAGATTGAGTAATAGCATGTAATATGTAAAAGATCTCCCTTGCTATTTCACATCGCGATGCCCGAAATGTGCTATTTTCAATTAGAGACATAATTTCAATCTATATTTTTAAGTGGAAATTGATATCACTACTGCATGATATCAGGCTATCCAAAAGGGTATTTTCAGGGCGTCCACACAATGTAGTAAACATTCAGTAATTGTTTTGACATCATATTATTTGGTTGGTTTAGATGGCAACCCATTAGTTGCACTATCCTATATCTGACATACACAACTCTATCTAACATTATTTTTTGACTTAATATTTTTATATGCAACTATGCCAATGACATTGAAAAAAGTATGCAAATTTTATACCCAATTTACATATAACAACACAATACGTACGAATAATTGAATGCATAATTCTTTAAAATACATACTTTTAATTAAAATACCTTATTTACCTAGGTATAAGTGATATTTTGCCTCAAGGTAAGTTGCATAAACTTTTCGATATGTAGAAATAATCGAGTTAATCAATAAAAATGAGCAATAAAAACTTTTAAAAGAGTTACAATAAAACTTTCAAATGTCGATTTCAAAAATAAAATTTTTTGCTTCTAAGTATAAACTAATCAGTGATTTTTTAAAATGTATATCTTATAAATACATTTATAGTATCTGTACATTATTAATTATAGAACACGAAAACGAGCTTAAATGGTCCGCCAAATAACCTTTTTTTTGAAAATGCTATAAAAGAAAACTATTGAATATTTTCTCAAATTTTGTTTTTCATTTGGAAGTTTATTTGTCAATACTCTGGTTGATAACAATAAATTATTTCATTTAAATGACTTAAAACCCTTTAACCTTTTAAATGGCCGCCGAAAAAAAAGTTAGATAACGGACCCTATAAAAGGTAAATGTCCTAAAAGCGTAGCCCATTAAGCCAACCTTTGGTAAATTTTTATAATTGAACCATTAGTCGTAGGCTTATAATATTGCAGGATGTTCGTTAAGTCAATAAAATCTACCAATATGCAAAGTATCATAAAAATCCTTAAATTTAGACCAAAAACCAACTAGTACTATTCGAAGTTCTGGATCGATTCAGGAGTTATAGCAAAAACATGGACAATTTTTTTCGCTCGCCTGCTAGTTGTAAAGAAACGGCTCAACCAACCGTTATGTAAAACTAATATGTCTGAGTCTTTATCATGTTTCATCAAATGGCTTTTAAAGCTTCGAAATCAGAGCAACCATTTTTAAGAATACTTTGATGAAAGTCAAATTTTGGCTTACATACACACATGCATACATACTTTTACCAATTTTGGTGCCAGATGATCCTGTATAATTTGAACCGTGATGGCGAAAATTTCTTCAGATTTTTAGGGAAAGGAGGGGGGGTTAACAAAAAATCAGGAAATATCACGTGGGGGAGGTAGGGGTATAGTAAGATATCACGTGTTTTTATTTTTTATTATTATTATTTTAAAAAAACCAATCATTATCAAAAAAATCAAAAATTTTACAATTTTTTCTTGTAACTAAAAATACACGTAATGTTTGTAAGGAAGGGGGGTAATTTTGAATAGCACCACGTATCACTGAGGAGGTTGGGGGGAGAGAGGGGGCTGACAAAAAATCACAAAATATCACGTGGGGGAGATAGGGGTATAGTCAGATATCACGTGTTTTTATTTTTTATCAATTTTTTTTTTCAAAAAAACCAATCGTTATCAAAAATTTTACCATTTTTTCTCGTAACTAAAAATACACGTAATGTTTGTAGGTGAAGCGGGGGGGGTGTAATTTTGAATATCACTACGTATCCCCGAGAGAGGGTCCAAAATTCTTTAAAAAATCGATCACGTAATTAATGAATAGTTGACAATGCTAAATTTAGAAGCTTTAGGAGAAGGTGAAAAAATGAGAACAATTTTCCTTTTCAATATAATTCATTTACGTAACTTCATACGTTAGAATATTTTACCAATAATTTATATTTCCATTACAATTTATATGCGTAACTTCTGTTTCTTACCACCGATCTTTCCTCTAAATTACGCATAAACCTGTACAGAAGCAAAGTTCAGAGATCTTTTTTTACAAATTGCTTAGTGATTCATTATTATCGTATTGACTCACAGTTGCCATTCGTTATAAATTGTATTAAAAAAACGTATCTGCGTTTATTAATGAATTGAATGACGTTATATAACCACTTAGTGCAATAATTTATTCGTTTTGTCACTTGTTCCATGCATTATAATTACAGAAAGTGTATCAGTCGAAGCGCAAGTACATTGCGGAATAAAATATTTAAATAAAATATTTTAAAATTAAAATGTATAGTAAAACTCAGTTTGTTGTACTTTTAGTTTGTGTGTTGCTGGTTTCCTGCTATGTAAGTAATATATGCATCATGTAATTTAGTAAAATTCACTACTTTCTTCACCAAAACTTCAGCAAATCAAATCGTACAGTACACTGCACTATTTTATTCCTAACCATCAGTGCAAAATATAGTAAATCATTTAAATTTAACAATATTTTTTAAATGCATGTAATGTATTAACCTTCCATATTATATATTATGTTTATCTTTAATTTATTATTTAATCATAGTCATGAACTCAATGTCACATGCTACCTAGTAATCGGTCAATCGTAGTCAAAAAAATTTTACAAATTGCAAAATTGTAAAAGTGTATTCAGGCGCAAATTTCATAGAAAAATTTTATAATTTAAATATTTTTTCAGGCGGCACCACAATTTGAAGCCATCACAGAACCAAGTAAGTAAAAGGAATAATTTTGCATTAAATTAGGGTAGAACGGGGCTTAAAAGTCCGTGGGTAAAGAGGTCTACAACAGATATTTCAAAAAATAAGTAAGGTGAAGAATTTTTCAACAACAATATTTGAAAGTAGAAGGCAAAATATGTGTAACAAGCCATTATCTTGATTCTTACGACTTCGATATCAGAAGATTTACATCAATGTTTGAAAATCCGTAACAAAAGTATTTTCTTGTTAATTGTTTTGGTTGTGAGCACTGTTGTTTAGTTTAAGAGACCTTAATATAATTTTTAAGTATACGTTATTTAATTATTTTAAAAAATGTTTTGTTCTTTTGTTAGATTCGATAGTTTTTTATATAGTTTCTACAAAAGCTTATATGTATGTGGGGTAAAAAGGGACCGTCTAAATCTTTACCCTGGTACATCTTGCAATACAGAAACAGCAAATAAAAATGTAAATTAAGTTAAAAAACAATTTATACGAGATAAATTAAATAAATAGTTATTACAACTCTGCTGATGAACATTTTTGACGAAACACCAGATCAAGGTTATATACAGTTATATTATTTTTTACCCCTATTGGGTAAAAAGGGAGAGATGACAAATTTCAGAAAAAACAGTAAAAAACACATTTTTATAATTAGGAATTAACTAGAAATTTTACTAAACATATTTCGATAATTGCTTGTTTGAGACGTGTTATGTGTTGTGATGTAGTTTATAGACACTGTAATTTTTAAATTGAAATTGAACCTTTGTTCCCCGTCCCACCTTATATTAAATTATAACATAGATAGATCGAATTTCAAAAAATATAAATGATATTTGTAAACGAAGGGATCAATTCTCCGATAAACGAAAAATGTTACGGGCCTACGGTCCTATCTTCGTATGAATTGGTAGTAAAAACTGCCTAAATGTTATGTATTTGCTGTGCGATCAGGCATTGTACACATAAAACCTAAACTAAAAACGCACAAACGTCAAATAACAATTTTATCATAAGTGCATCTTTCTAATGTGCCTTTAATAACACATACGTGAAGTTAGGTTTCATAAGTAAAAACTTTTTGACAGTTTTTACTACCAATTCATATGAAGATAAAAACATTTCTATTTTATCGGAAAATTGGCCCCTAAGTCTTTAGCCAGAGTTAGAGATAATCATGATAAATAATTAGAGCAAATATTAAAACGATCATACTTAATACGATTCCTCGCATAATACGCCACATTAAAACTGACTGCATTTTGAAACATATTGTCTCCATCTCACATAAGACGCGTTTTAGGTACGGACTTCAGAAAATCTTCTTAACGGAGTTTTACTGGATTAATAATTCTTGTTTAATAAGATAAAACATGCCTAAAATAAAAATCGGCTTACCTTTTGTCCTTGGTCAATTATTATTAGAGCACAAGTTCCAATCTGAAAATTATAAAAAAATATTAATGTTACGAATAAATAGTATGCAAGTCAGAATTATTATTCATTATTAAATTTTGTTAAAAATAAAATTGTTATTTATGACATAAAATTTAAGCGAATAAAAATGTAGATTTGTATGGGATACGATTTGAAAAATTATAAACAAAATATTAACTGGTTTTTATTTTACTTTATAAAAACATTATGATTTTACCTCAGATGTTAAGGCTGCAAACATTTGTTCGCTAATTAGCAGTGGGTCACACATTGATTTACACTATATTATAAAAAACTAATTTAAATTGCACTTATTTTTAAATAATTATTTCACACGATTTTAGAGAACACTGCACTCACTTTAATTTTGAAAATTAGATTAAATTTTAACACTACTTTACAAAGTGCACTGATTAATAAATGATACCATACTCACTTTTATTTAAAAAAATAAAAATTATTTTTAACACTGGTAAAAGAAATACAAATATTAATAAATGACACTATACTCACTTTTATTTAAAAAAATAAATTAAATTTTAACACTGCTGGAAGAAATACACAAATTAAGAAATGACACTACAATATTTTTCATACAAGCTAATAATAAGATGATTTGATATTTGCTTAAACATTCATATTCCTAACTAATACCAGAGTTATATTCAAACTAAATGTAGTAAAATTACTATAATTAATTTATAGCTTTAAAAATGATAAATTAGTATATCTTTAACTAACAGGTTTAATTTAATTTAATGTGCCTTAAAATTTCTAACCTCGAAACACGTTAATTTGTCTGCAATATCTACATTGCTAAAAAATAAATTAATGATAGAAAAATAAACCGATATATTTTCGAATTGTTTTCACAATTTGATTTGAATTAAATTTCGAGTTCAATTTGTATGATCGCCCCATCAAAACCATGCCTAAGAATTAAAATCACTCACCAGTCGATTAAATCACCTATTTTCTGCAATATCTCGATTTCCAACATGTTGCCTGGAATGAGAAAAATATGTTAAAACTGAGACAAAATAATATAAATAAATAATAAATAAAAAATATAATACGTTTTTCTCGATTTTCAGAAGAAATCTCATCAGGAATGTGTAATTCTCCATATAATACTTAATAAGTCATTAATAATGAAATATTTAACAAAAACTTAATAATTAACTATTAACAAAAAAAACTCCAAATATTACAAAAAACAAAATTAAAAAGCGAACCCAAAATTAGAAAGTGGATAAAATGTTCCTTTTGGCTTTACAAAACAATCTAAAATATCTATAAATACATTCAAATATACTTGAAAATTCTTCAAGTCACTAGTATGAGAATAATCTGACATTAAATCTAACTTTAATCCTTTCCACTCGTTAATTCCGAGATTTAAATGAATTTTGCCGCCAGAGCGGCGGCATCCGAGTCAAAAGGGTATTAAGTAGTAAGTATTAAGTCTTGATTTTCTACAATTTAATCGATTTTCAAGATTCTTTGCTGCATTATATAATTGACTTATATTCTAAACCCGTCTATAGAATCTTATTCTTATTTATTATTATTCTGCAAGATACAATTTACTTAAAGTTCTCTAATAAAAAACTACTGCCCAAACTAATTATTAATTAAATTCAGTATGATTTTTTAAAGACATCAATTAGCAAATACTCAACACATCATTATCAAAGTTTTTTTTTTAATATAACTTTTCTTACTGAGATAATTTTCACGAGAATGTCAATTAGACATTATTTGGTAATTTTGATTTTAGAATTTTCGATAGGATAATTTTCGATTTGAATTGTTTCTTTGAAAATTAATTTAATTAAGCATTCACGATCTTAGACAGAAAAAAATATGATATTCTACGTTATAGCTTTAAATCGATACTTTACATTAAATAGGAATTAATTCAAGAAAAAATAGTTGATGGACAGACTGTAGAACAGACATACTTCATTTTTTTTATTTGATTACTGAAACTTAACCTTTGATTACTACCAATAATAAGTATTTTTATCGATATTACCTCGTGCAATAAAAATGTGTAAATTTATTTACATAATATCAAATAATTTATTATCTTTTATTGATTTTCAGTTGCTGGAGGAATAACCTTCTTGGGTCAATCCGCCAACAGAGTTGTCAAATACATGAAGAATCCAAGAGAATTTTTGGACAAATTAACGGACAGTGTTGTCATAGCTGGTTCAAATATCTATAGTATATTTGCAGAAGACCCGAAAAGCGATGAAAAATCATAACTTCACAAAATGTTGGTTATTTATTAGATATTATATGAAGCTCAATTCCAAAAAGTGGCGCCAAGAAAAATAATAAACATATTAGTTCATTGAGGAAATGATTTATTAATTGAACTTGTATTTCACTATTAATGGCAAATTATAAATCTTCAATAAGTTGCTTATATTTTGAATTAAATGTATTTATGTGTACATTTGAAATCACAATTCATGACTTGATTTTTTTTAATAATTTTATAAAATATGAATGAGTCTGCAACAGCTTTCAAATTAAGTTGTAAGTTATAAGTGGTAACAAAATTGTTAAAAATTTATTATCAAAATAAAAACAAAATTCTTCAGAAAGTCTGTGATTGTTTTATCAATTTATTTTATTTGTAATAAACCTTGCACATATAGTAATGTTATATAGATTCTCTGGTCCAAAGTTAGATCAGTGGATACAGTTTTGGTCCAGGAAAAATTAAATCGTTTATTTATAATATATTATAAATTAAATTCCTAAATAAATGGTTGTTTGTTTCAAGTGGAAACATATTTTTGGTCTAAATTTTCAAGTAGAAATGTTTTGGCAAATGTGTGATATATCTGGTTATCCATGCAGAAATAAATATAAAACCAAATTAAAAAAATAAGGAACGATAACTTAATTGTACCGAACAAATGCATATTCCTGCATCGTATTTTCCAAAAATAGTATTTTTAGTAATTTTATTTTATTTTACACTTATATACTTCAAATATACTTAATACTAGCTGTATCCGGCCTTCACGCTTTTTGCCATGTTTTACTTTCAATTAAAAATTTGAACAAAAATGCATCATTTTTAAATCTAGTCTACCAGTTTTCTTGTCTTCAATCTACCTCTCTATATGACTATCTGTCTATTTCTCTACCTGTCTACCTTTCTATTTGTATATTTCTCTACCTGTCAACCTTTCTGGCTGTCTGCCTCTCCACCTCTCCATCTCGCTACATCTCTACCTGTTTACCTGTCTACCAGTTTTCCTGTCAACCTGTTTGTCAGTCAACCAATTTACCGGTCCACTAATTTACCTGTTGACCAATTTACCTGCCAACCAGTCTACCTGTCAACCAATATACTTATCAACATGTTTGTCAATCCACAATTTGCCCTGCCTACCAATTTACCGGCCAACCAATTTACCTGTTTACCTGTCAACCAGTCTACCTATTTATCAATCGACCATTTTACCTGACTACCAATTTACCTGTCAACCAATTTGTCAGGCAACCAACTTACCTGTCAACCAATTTACCTGTTATACCATTTTACTTGTCCATCAATTAATCTGTCAACCTGTTTATCTGTCTGACATATTAATCTATCCACCAGTTATCTTGTCTACCATTTTACATATCCTCCAATTTACATTTCTACCAGTTTACATATCTACCAATTTACCAGTCTACCTGTTCATCTGTCTACGTAGGTATCTATCTATCAGTTTAACTATTTATTTGTTTACCTGTTTACCTATCTGCCAGTTTACTTATCTACCATTCTGTTAGTCTACCAATTACTAATTAATTAAAAATATAATAGATATAATCACTATAATAATTTTTACAAAATAAGCGTTTGTAGTAGGAGGTTGAAAATTTAAGGTAATATGAGCTTTTTATATATGCATTATAAAAAAGTAAAACTTGAACAAAGAAAGAAAAAAAGTCTTTGAGGCGGCCAACACCTTGAAAATCAAATTACTAGCTTAAATCAAAATATTCGAAAACATGTCATTTTATATGGATTTACCTAACAATTTCCCAAATTATCATGACGATCAAACGTATGGTTTATGAATGCATGACAATTACACAAACACAGACATACTTTCATTTATATATATATATATATATATATATATATATATATAGATTTATAAATTTTTGGTATATTGTAGTAATCTCTATAAAAATGCGATAATAAATGCCCAATAAGCATTTTTCCATCAAATGAGCATTTTGTAAACTTTTGTTACAAATCCAAAACCTTTTGAAAGCCCTGCTAAAATTTCAATACATCTTTGGCAAATATTGACTAGGATGATCAACCCAGTCGTTTCTTCATAATTAGCACCTTTTTCATTATTATATTGAAGTATTTTTTCTTAGAGAAATCTTTGTGTTCCCCCAATACGTAGTGAATTTTACCTAATAAGTTTCCTTTATATCAGAAAGATATAAAGGGAACTTATTAGGAAAAGATCAGTTGATGACCACGATCCATAAAGAAATGGTTCAAAATGTTTGCAATATAATTTATTTCATTTATTTATCAAAATACTTTTAATACCACATTAAATTTCGATTACCTGTCAGCTTCTAAATTGAACAAAATTGCATTGAAATTTTTATGAATAAACTTTTCGCATTGTTTGAATTTAAATGATATATGAATCGCAAAATAACTACAGGAAGTGATTGTTTGACATGATAAATTTTTGAATAGGTACGAATTTGATAAATTTAGTATTAATATAAATTTTGTTTATGTGTTAACATATATAAAAATGTGAACAACACGATTTTAAATCATAAAATCATCAAATGCAAAATGAAGCTGGTTGTAGTTCTGGGAATTCTTTGCTTGATTGCAGTTCTGGACGTGTCTGTGAGTGACTTTCGGAATAAATAATAATAATAAAATATATAGTGAAATAATTCATTAATATCAGTATTAACTATTAAATAATATTTTAAGGCCAGAAGACACGAACGGCAGCCAGGCGAAGAAAATTAACATGGAAAAAGACATCAACGTGGTAATACTTAATATCTCTAAAATTCAATAAACTTTTGCAACAAAAATATATATTTGAATTTCTTTAAATTTCAAAATCAATATTTTTTATCTTTTTCCTAAAGGACCAAGACATCACAAAGGAAGACGAGGTAAACATAACAACACAACCGAAGAACCTGCAGATACTCCATCAGAAGACGATTTACCATCTTTCGGAGAAACTGAATTCATGGACAATTCTCCTCCACCAACCAGTCCTGAAATGACCACTTCTGGAAACCAACCTGCAGGAGAAGATTTGAAACAAACCATTCCAGGGCAAATGCCTGCTAAGAAATAACCGAAAAATAAATAAATTGTGACCCAAAATTTGTATTGAATAAACTTTCAACACCATTTTATATTTGTGTCTTGTATTAAATTCTTGAATTAGTTTATTTTGAAATGTCCTGTCCTATATGTTACTTTTTGCACCAGAGAATAAAATATGTGCAGGAGTAAAAGATTAAATGTTTATATATAATTTATAGAAACATTATATATTCTTAAATAAAAAACAAAGTTCCAATACCTCAATCTGACAAAAACTACAAGTTTTTATTTCTGATTTACTTTAAACTCCACTAGATGGTTATTTGAATCAAATTTATTCTCAAGATTTAAATATATATACGCTGGGCTGGTTCGATCTATATATTATGGTAAAATAATTGACTTCTTATACATTACATACTTGAATTAAATTATTGAAATTTACAAAACAATTTTTTCACTATCTATAAATAGTTTTTTTGGTTTTATTTCAGATTTTTAATTGGAAACTAATCCATACTATAATTTTGGTCTTGGTCTCAAATTTAGCTGTTAGTTGCATGAAAAATATATGAGTATATCCAGCTTATTTTGATTGCTGATTAAATATATTACTTAAACTGGTTGTAAGTGGCATTTCGTCATTAGACAAGTTGCATATAGTTTTCGATACGCGTGATAATCGACACAATCAATCAAGAATTCAAAGTTCAAATTCAGTCAAACAGTTTAGAATGACTTGGAACGTCGAGAATCTGATATTCTGGCCAAAATATAAACTTCCCCTACAGGAAGTCAATAAACTATAAACAAAATATAAACTATTTTTGAAGTAAAACTTCTTTAGGCGTGACTGGGGTGTAGATCCGTACAAATGCAACGGAAGTACGTTATGCCAATGATTCGTCATTGGATCTCGATGATATCATTTCAATACGGATCGATTGTGATTAGTGGTCGTGTATGTGAATAGAGATCTGTCATTGTATGAGTACCGGCATCAACGTTGTATGCGTACCGATATCAACAAGGAAATTGGCATAGATAAATAAACATTTTAAAGTTACATCGTAGTACAAGATTATATCGCCAGCGAAAATGTAAAAAAAATACAAGCAGTCAATGAATGTATGTTAATTTTAATTACATGAAGTTCTTCAAATACAATTACATTTGTTTAGGCGTTGTTTAACATAATCCACTGTGTGAATAAATATTAAAGAATTTATTAATCATCTATTAGTTCATTTCTAAATGCTAATTACAATGACAAACCGATCATGTCATATTTGAAGTATGACTTTAATTAAATTATTGTATTTAAATATTATACATATTTTTAATACTATTATAAATATGTAATTTATAATTTATCATTATATAAATGTGTATAATGGTTGACACTAATAAATGTGTGCATCACGAGTGTTACCATATTACTAATAAACATTATTCAAAATTGTTATATGATGTATTTATTTTTACTTAATTTAAATTTACTACTTTTTACAGTAGCAAATAAGTTTTACTTCAATCGCGTGTGATCCTTAAGCGCACTCTTTTTATATGTAAAATCTTTTATATGTAAAGTTCTTCAGTTAATTAGTTAATTATTACGATTGCAACTTGTAACAAACATAACTATTGAAATTGTTGTTCAGTATAGTTAAATCATTCATAAAAACATCAATATCAAACGATGAAATACGAAATTATTCAGACAATTACAAAAGCCGCCTTGCAGATTACCCCAACAAACTTGCCAGGAAACTCCGACAGAATACTACCAGGGCCAGATTGAATAAGAAATTTATTTTACATTTATCTCTGTCAAACTCAAAATCAGGGTCAACATAGAAAGGAGATATCGTTGAAAAACTGATTTTTGACGCAAATTTTCCAATATGGCGGCGACAGCGGCAAAAATTCGAGGTCGCAAAGTTAAAATGATCACATCAAAATCTATAAAATCACCAATTTTCAAAACTTCCGTAAAACTTTTAAGGTAACAACTTTTTTTTTGCACCAAATGATTGGGCTATTGCACAACATTGTTAGTAATGATAAAAAAACTTTTTGCAATAAAATATTTATTATAAGCAATTAAAATTTATGTAATAGACATGATAACATTACATCAACTGGATTAGGTAGAAATTTGTTTTTATCTATTATCAAATCTTATTCGCAGATATGTCGACTTTTATGCAATTATTGGTGCAGTAATTTTTTTAGCAGTTTTATCAAGCTAAACTAGTTATACTTTTAACAAATTTTTGTAGTTATACCACTTATCGTAGGCCTATAATCTTTTAAGATGTTCGTTATCAGTTTGTAGTGTTAACTACTCACATACAGTTTCATCAAGACAAAAAAAAAGTTTCAACAATCAATTACAAAGAAAAAACTTGGCTGATCTTTACCAAAAACTAATCAGAATTTTTCTTAACTAATGTCTTTCGAAGGGTTTTAAAATTTTCAAATCGGTTGAGAACTTTATGCAAAAACTTTGATGTAAAATCTTGCACTATTCTGCAAATTAATTATAAATTATAAATTAATATCAGTATTTTCTTAAAAGTCACCTAGATTACGAACATCTTTTCAATCAACACAAAAAAAGATACCAATGGGTAAACTCTATTTTGGTCTGATCATTACATATTGTCATTCATAATTACTAAATGGTTCTTGTAAATGGTTTTTGTATTTTGAAAACAGATTGTAATTGCAACTTGAGAAATAAAGAAAAGAACTATTTTGCAAATTCATGAATGCTAGTAATTTTACTGGTTTTTGAAATTCGTACAGCCGTTTTATGAAAAACAAGTCGATGAAAGTCAAATTTTGGGATTCTGCCGCATAACAGAAAAATGTTAGGGCAAGGCCATGTTACATGTTATCATACTGAATACTGTCAAAATGCCATGTATTTGCTGTTCATTCAGGCGTTTTACACATAAACTGCAACGTCACTAGTATGTTACGGAGCTGTATCAGAAACACACTGTTTCTAACATCGTTCTTTGACAATTCGCCTGACTGCATACCAACCGCATAACTTTTGTTAATATTAGTATGGAAAATTCTTCATGATATGATCTTGCCATAACATTTTTCTGTTATGCGGCAGAATCGGTCCCTTCAGCTCACTTATACATAAACATAAACATACTGTTTCCAATTTGGGTTTTAAAAAATGTGGACTTTTGAAACGTCAAGAGAACAAAAATAGCAAATCGGATTTTCTGGCAAAAATATAAACTCCTTCAGGGATGTAATAGAAAAAGAATATGTTAATACGGTGCAAGTATATGTACACCACAATTCAAACAAAATATATAATATTTATAAAGCAAAACGTTGGTGATCAAAATTCTTATTTTGGTCATTTGTCTTCAATTTCTTCATGACATGTCTGAATAATTAACAAAAAGTTTGTATAAAACTGCAAAATATCAAATTTGATTAAATTTCTAATAATAACAGGCCTGATGAAGTTACAGAATTATCTTTATAGCAATCATATACAAATACCGGGTCGAATGACCCAGCAAAAACTTTTTATAACTTTTGAACGATTGACGTCAAAGCTTTTTTCACTCATGAAAATTCAAGCACATGTATATCGCATACAGGACATAATAGTAGAAGAAAAAAAAAACATTAAAATTTCGCAAAATCAATAATAATAAACAGGAAACAACACAAAATAGTTTTAACAAGAGTAATTGGTGCTATTATGGAATACTTGCTAATGTACTAGTGATATGGGTGTATAAATAAGAGTGAAAATATTGAATATATCACTAGTTCAAAATGAAAATCACTTTAGTTTTGGTAATTCTGTGCTGTCTAGCCCTCGCGGCAAATGCGGTAAATATAATATATTATTATTAGTTGTGTAGTAAAGTAACTAATAACTCTTAGAAATATCTATTGACTAAATTGAACTTTACGCCTATTTTTTTAACTTCCCGTACGGTAATCGCAAATTTTTACATATCTTTACGTTTCAGAGGTTTCTGAACATTTTAGCATACTTTAGAAAAAACAAATTCAAATTATTCAGAAAAGTCAATTTTTTCAAAAATTTCAAAATACTCAGAAGTCTAATTTTTCGAAAATTTTTAAAATGTTACAAAGCTTTTTGAAAAATTTTCAATTTTCGTTACGGGAAGTTCCACCAATTTGCTTAATTGCCGTAAGACACAATGCACCACTAGTTGCTGGTTCTTTCTTTGAATATCCTCCTAATCCCTCCTGAATATCTATCCATCAAATGATCTAGTGGATAAGAATATGCAAACATAAATAATTTTTTATTGATATTTTTACATTTAACCAGTTAACTGTCGCACACTCATTGTACGACGAGCACAGTTTTGTGCTGTCAGAATTGAAGTAAAATGTTGTTTAAAGGTAAAATGTCATTTTGCAAGTGTTTATTTCATGCCACCAAATTTGAAAGTGTTTTCTCTTTCAAAAGTTGCTATCTAAATAGCCAATGGCCAAATATTTAAACACATGACCATAGTATGCTCATCAATATACAAAACTGTGTCCTCTCTCCATAACCAGTATATTCTTCAATCACAATCAACTGATTAGATCCAACTACCACAACTTCTACATATACTTATTTCAAGTTGCTTAGTTTGTAAAATTAAACAGAAAATAATCCATGCTATTTTATATTTCAGAAAAATAGAAACAGTCAAAGAAACAAGAATGGAAATGAACGCCGAGGTATTATTTTCATGGCCAGTAATCATATATGTCAAGTATTGGAAACTGTTGTGTTTATTTAATTTACCATTATCTAGGTCGAGGTCCACCTGGTGGCCAGGGACCACCAGGAACAATGAATAACCCAGGAGGTCAAATGCCAACTGGGGGACAGATGCCAACTGGGGGACAGATGCCAACTGGGGGACAGATGCCAACTGGGGGACAGATGCCAACTAGGGGACAGATGCCAACTGGAGGACAAATGCCAACTGGTGGACAAATGCCAACTGGTGGACAAATGCCAACAGCAGGACAGATGCCAACAGCAGGACAGATGCCAACAGCAGGACAGATGCCAATTGCAGGACAGATGCCAACTGCAGGACAAATGCCAACTGGAGGACAAATGCCAACTGGAGGACAGATGCCACAAGAACCAGTGTTCCAAACACCAATTGCAAAATAAAATTTCAGCCCATTGCTTATTTTAGTGTATTATTTTCATTATTGAATAAATATCTTGGTTTCTACCAAAATCTTTTTGTATTTATTTATTCAGAAGGCAACAAAACGATTGACTTTCTCCTTCTGATGAATTTATTATTAAAATTAGTCAAATAGTAATTTTTTTCGATGCAATGCTGCAGAGACAGAGCAAATTTCACTTGGAAATATATTGATTTCCATATTTCCAAATCAAAATCGAAGTCACTGGATGTTTGGCATCAGAAGCAGGTATCAAACCTGGAACTTCTGGTTGGAAGCATATAGCTCTAACCACTAAGATGGTAAAGCCCACTTTAATATCAACTGCTTATAAAATATCATGTATAAAATTACTTTCAAAATCTTTTCATGTTTTGCATCAATCAGTCCATTTCCTTGATTCTATATTATTATGCAACTTTTAGTGTCAACCATTAAAAGACGTCTGATTTGTTAAAACTAGATTATTATTTTTCAACAAAATAGTTTTCAATCATGCACATCAATTGTGAAGTATCTCGCACTCGTGATTTGTTGTAAATAATAATTAAAATAACACATCATTACAAAAAATATAAAATGAGTCGCATAAAAAATTAATTTCATAGTGCACATCCGACTTACGTGATAATGATACTAAATAGACCGACGGCTTTTTATAATATATCTCAGATATATAATAATTAAGAATAAATAGTAAATGACATAAATAATAGACAAATACTCTTCATAGAAGTGGATGGAAATCATTCAATCAACATTATTTTATATAGAATACAATGTATTGAATAATAACTCCTAGTATAAGGCAAATATATAAGATGCCTATAAAATGAATGATTTAAACGCAATATAGTTGTTCAATTTCATTATTTGGATAGTTGCCTGTTAAACTAGGTTTTTTTGTATAGCGAAGGAAATGAGTTTATGCATCCCAGACTAAGTCTTTTGTCTGGGTATGTCGGACTCGATACCATCTGGGTATAATACCGACTAAAACCTCCGCTTATCTCTTGTCTCTGGTTTCCACGAAAATGCCGTTACTTCATGGGAGGAGGATCAAGAATACTCTGAACCTAAATTTTTCTAATAATTATTGCCATTTGCTCTTCTTCGCATTAAGAATATTAAGATCGCAAGTCTATTAACATTTCGGTAGCTAATATGTCTGTAGAATCAGGTGCAAATGGCATCCTATCTTAAAGAGAATTATGAAAACTCCTTGACAAGTCTATATAATAAACTTAATCAGTAAGAATTGAGATATAGTTACCATTAAAATTGTAAAAAAATCGAATAATACATAATCTTATATCTCAGGGTCATATAGATGTGCTTAACAGAAGTTTTGAGCAGACCACTTTATTTAAATAGATATGATTAAGAGAAGTTAATAAAATTTAATTGAACCAAAGATAAAAATTTGGTTCACATACACACTCAACTCCATTTTTGAATTAACTTTCTAAACTTAGCATTTGAAAATCCGTTACACTTATTTGAGATTAAGGACTCTTAAAATAAGAGAGAAGTGTTTTCTTCTCTTGTTTGGTGATTTTCGTCACAATATATTCTCAGATTCGATCCAGCAAGATATCAAGTAGTACGATACCAAAATACCACTTGAGATTATATGCCAACTCAATTACATATACTTGTCTAATATATAAAGTATAAAAATAAGAGTGGTTGTCAGCTTGGTTGCCCATTTGAGAAAAATACTAGATTAGGATGTACTATAAAAATACACAGCCTAAAGGGCACTAAATTATCATCCATACTAAAAAAAAACAGTGCGCGTAATGTTCACACGCAATTAAAGTAAAACCTATTTGCTACTGTACAAGAAGGCATTTAAGTAATAATAAATGCATCATATAACAATTTGGAATAATGTTTATTAGTAATATGGTAACTCTGGTGATGCACATATTTATTAGTGTCAATCATTATACACATTTATGTAATGATAAATTATAAATTATATATTTATATTAGCATTAAAAATATGTATAATCTTTAAACACAATAATGTAATTACAGTCATACTTCAAATATGACATGATCGGTTTGTCATTATAATTAGCATTTAGAAATAAACCTTCATTAGAAAAATGAAGTAATTGCTGAATAATAACTTCTATAATATTCGTTCACATAGTGGATTATGTTAAACAACGCCTAAACAAATATTGTTTTTGCAACTTCACTCATCATGTAATAATTGTGTTTGAAGAACTTCATGTAATTAAAATTAACATACATTCATTGACTGCTTGTATTTTTTACTTTTTCGCTGGCGATATGATTTCATACTTTGAACAGCTGTAATGTCTGTCTTGCCTAAAAAATATATAGCGAATGACGAATCATTGGCACTCGACTCTGCCGTAACGCACTTCCGTTGCATTTGTACGGATTTACACCCTAGTCACGCCTAAAGAAGTTTTACCAGAAAAAAGTTCTCCTTTTGGAACATAGTAGAAAAATCAATTTCAACCTTGGTACTGAACTTCAAAAAACCATCAATTTTCGGCACAATTTGATCGTGATAAACAAAAACCAAAATCCTCATTGTTGACCAGCTTTACGTCTACTAATGACGAATAGAATTAGAATATATTTCGCGCGAACAATTCTCAATATCATATTCATAATTTATTATCGGTCACAGTTCGTCGCCGCACTTGAAAATAATGTATTTTTTATTAAGCGCTCGTTAAATATATTTTGAATAGAGTTGTTTATAAATATAGCCGGTTGGAAATCAATTCTATCAATTTTGAATTGTTATTATATCTGTACGGAACGTTGCAAGTAAAATAAAATTAGACGCCGAGATGAAACCTGCCATATGTGTTTTGGCACTGTCAGTGTTTACAGTGAGTAGAAGTTTTATTTATTAAATTAAAATATGTCGAACTGCATCTAATCTGATATGCAATTACCGTCAGATGTATATTAACTTATTTTAAATTTATTTGAAAGTTTGAGTTGCAAATAATATACATAGGATGGGTCATTCAAAGTGGAAAGCATTTGCCTCTGAAAAAATATATAAAGAATATTTTTATTCTCATTATAATTTATTTTGGTTCCTAGAGTCATGTTACAGCTATTTCAAATATAATAATAATGTGTTTCCATATATTTTTTTTAGAAAAAAATGCTTTCACTTTAAATGTCTCACAGAATAAAGCAAGCTTAAAAACTATAAATTGCAAGCATGCTTTCTTGAGTTTTATTAAATTGAATAAAATGTAGAGATATTTTTTTGAATTTCATTGCATTTAGTTTTCAGTGAAATGTATAAACAAATAGCAATTATAGATCAATCTACATATTTCTAATATATAAAAAAAACTCAAAAAAAAAAAATTAAGACTGTGTGCACATGGTACGATATTTTTTTATGTTAAATCATTCATAATTGCTTTCGTATTTTTAGTTCTTTTTTGCATTAAGTCTTTTAAAACATATATTTTTGAATTTTTATTTATTTTTAAATTTAATGGATTATTTTTAAAATGATCAATTGTAAAACGGGACTTTTGGAATTCTTATAAATACTACATTTACGAAAATTTCTTAAAAGGTGTAATATTTGTAAAAAATGACTGACTTAAACCCAGACCAGATAACACACATATTTAGTGTAAGAAATTAGTTGACATGAATATTTATGAAGTGATACTTTATTAAGTCAGCAACTTACAATGAGGATCTCAAATTTACTCGTTTGGGATTTTGACAAAATTTTGCATAGTGATAAATTGGATAGTTAAAACCAGCCCCTCCAAATTGTAGAGTTCTGTGAAAAGTGGTGAAATTATAAAAAAAAATAATTAAAGTGTTTCCTACAATGTGTCCAGAAGCGGCGTTTTTACTGCATTTAATAAATTTTTGAAATAAAACCACTTCTTATAGGACTCTAATATTTTAAAGACTTTGTTTTCACTATCAACTCTATCACTATCATGCAAAATTTCATCAAAATCCGAGGCGATTAAATTTAAGGTTCTCCTTGTTAGAAATCAGAAAGACGAATATATATACTTATCCAATTTTCATTAATTTTTTTTTTCAGGTATTTTTTACTGGATCACAGTGTGCAATTACAGGTAAAAATAATTCAAAATATATTCATTTTATTATGTACTTTTAATAATGTTAATAACAATAGTCGACGCGTTACCTTGAATTGAGTTGTCATCGTGTACAATTAATATTCATTTAAAATATTGACATTACTTTTTAATTAAACCATAATTTATAGCCGATTGGCGTTAAACAAATAAATAAACTAGTGGTGCCTTAAGGCAAATTGCTAGAACTTCCCGTACCGTAACGAAATATTCGAGAAATATTAAATGTTTTCAAATAGATTATTATAAATACGGTAGCTTTCATCATTCTTATTTTATATTTAGAACTTTAGCTAGTATTAGAATTAAAATCCGAATTATTTTCGATATCCTAAAAAAATTTTTTTGGTAATTAAAAAAAAAATGAAACTAGTGGGGTGTATGGCATCGTGTCTTAAGGCAAATTGCTGGAACTTCCCGTACCGTAACGAAATGTTCGAGGAATACTGAATGTTTTCAAATAGATTATTATAAATATTGTAACATTGTCTAATATTTATAGGAATTATATAAACTGAATCGCAAAGTTGAAATTATTTGTTTAAAGTATATTAGAACTATTTTTACAAAATCAATTATTTTATTAAGACAAGCAGAAAATTCTTTGAATCATTTAAATCGGACGCTTAGTTCTCTCAAAAACTGCAATTTTTTGCTCCGAAATAGATGGACCAGCCTTTGCCAAAAACCAATCACCACTTCTCCCCATCATTACGAATTGAATGTTTTTTGGATCATTCAAATCGGATGCTCCGTTCTCTCAAAAACTCGATTTCTATTTTCTGCACTCTTTGCTCCGTATCTCCGAAACAGCTGAACCTGCCTTTGCCAAAAACTAATCAGCACGTCTCCTTATCAATAGAAATCGATTGCTTTTTGAATCATGCAAATAGGTTGTTCCGTACACCAGAAATTGTCAACAAAAAATTGTATCCGCAGATACACACCCATCTATTGCTTCTAAGGCATGCCGAAATGTTCAGAAACCTCTTAACCGTAAAGATACGCAAAAATTCTCAGTATCGATTTTTGTACGATTACAATAACTTACCCTTGGGCCGTCCATTAATTACGTGATCGACTTAAGGATTTTTGGCCCCCCCCCCCTTGTGATACGCGGTGATATCCAAAGTTACCCCGACTCCCCCACGAAACATCACGTGTATTTTTAGTTTCGTGAAAAAATTGTAAATTTTTTTTTTTTAAATGTTTGGATTTTTTAAAAAAATCAAGTAAAAAATAAATACACGTGACATCTTACTATACCCCTCCCTCCCCCCGACGGAAAGTTAATAAGAAGGTTACAACACTTTTTACAAACTTTTAATTAACGTTGAAACACCAGAACATAACAAAAATTATCCAAGAATAAGACTATTTTTGGATTAATTTTAGTCTAATAACTTTTTACGTTTTCATGTTTTAATTTTCCTTACATCTTTTATAAAAACTTAATACTTGTGCAAAATTCTCATACCTCCATTTCGACATCTAGACTGTCTTACCCGGTTGATCTATGACCCGATTTATGCATAATTAATATTAATTATTAACTTTTTATGTTAATTAGGAGAAACCAATAATAATGGCGTAGCTGTTATGCTAAGTGTTGACGAAGAAGTATTGAGAAGCATTTATGACTTCATAACTCACGAAATTCGAGGTTTAGGAAATGCCATGGATTTCATTCCTGGATTCGATGAATTAAATGAAATTGTTTCGGATGAAGACAAACTTAAAGAAATGAGGATGAAAACAGTTGTTGTAGCTGAAGACATCATCAGACAGGTAAGTGAAAAATATCGTAAATATCCCAAACTTCTGAAATTTTGCTCCCACAGACTTTGTGATATTCTAGTCTATTCATTCAAATTATTTTTATTTTTTACCGTTGTTATAATTAAATTTTATGTTATTAGGCAAATATGCTCGTGCAAATTTTACGTGAAGGAAAAGACAATCCCGAATATGTTAATGCAACTTCCCAATTGCGTCAATATATAAAACAACTTAAAGAATTCGATCAAATGAAATTAGTCAATGGACTCGGTAGCGGAATCGAAATTTTGGATTTGATTTTCAAAGCATTATCGATGGAATAAACATAGGCAAAAAAAACAAAAAATTATATAAATTATCGGTTTTGTTTCGAGTACCTACCTACTTAAGATTTTTAACAAATATTTATAGTGTTTTTAAAGTTTAAGATATTTAGTAGTTATATAAATATAATATTGGATATAAATGTAAATATTAAATTCAATAAATACTTATATTCAATTGAACATATTTTTCATTTTTAATTTTTTCAGAAGTATTGAATTTTGAAACGCCTCGGTGCTCAATCTAGTGATTTTGTTTTTTCTTTAACTTTTAAACATTTCATAACTAAATTTATAAGCTACATTAAAACATAGTACTGCAAAACGACTTAAAATCGCTTATTTAGAGTAAATTATAAATTGTATATATACCTATACCAAATCCTTTACACTGTAAATATTTGTTTCATAAATAATTTTGCTAAACTTGCGTTTCCTTAAAAAACAAATAACTTCAACTAAATTTCAATAAAAAATATTTAAGCTTCAGAAAAGAGCTATTCGAATAATTTTTTTCTTGCCCAGAAAAGCCTCCTGCAGACTCATATTTAAAAAACACAATATTCTAATTGTCCCATGCATTTTTCTGCTGGTAACATTATCTTCGAAAAACAATTCGAAACTTTTTGATATGGCTTCTTCCTCCTCAAACTACAACACTAGACACAAATTTATTACATATAAATTAACTAGTTCTTTCACTTACAATTCTGGTTCTTTAAGTAATTTCAAGAAATCATAGTTCAAAAGTATAAATAGAAATAATTCTTTTTAATCATCCAATTTGCCTGATCTGTTTTTCTGAAAACGTATCAGGAACATTTATCCAAACTTGAACATGAACAATTTTAGATTAGTATATTAATTAAAGTGGGTCAATTTTTTTTAGCTACTGGGGAACATAGCGATTCTCGTATTTTAAGTGATTTTAAGAAACTTTGCCAAAGAAACCATAGCTCTAAAGTGAATTTCGAGCCAGTGAAATTTTCAATATAATTTTTTCTCCAATATCTTAGATCCAAAAATCCATTTGTGAATCAAATCTATGTCAATTGTGTATGAGTAACAATTTTATTTTTCAATGCTAAACAACTTCGATTAAAAAAGTTAGATTCGAAGTAGTGTGTGAGTTACCAGATTTGTAGCTGGTAGGTCTTATTGCGATTCTGGTACTTTAAGTAATTTCAAGAAACTTTGCCAAAGAAACCATAGCTCGAAAGTAAATTTCGAACCAGCAAAATTTTCAATATTGTTTTTTCTCCAATATACCTAAATATTGCACTGGGAAAATAAAAAAAAATTAACTAACCCATTATGTACATGTAAGATTTTTATGGTCAAAAAATCAATTTCTGGGCCAAATCCATGTGAATAGAGTATGGTAGCATTTTTGATGTTTAATAAAATTCAAGTCTGCAATGTGGGAAAGTCAAATGTTCGTTAATTTTTGCAAAGAATTTCATTAACATTTTTCAGAATAAAGCAAAGAAAATAAACTAAAGAAAAGAAAATCTTTTCTGGAGGTAGTAATTTGTAAAATACGTTTCACAGATGGATTTTTTCACATTTTTTCTATTTTTGATACAATATTATTGGAATTGGAACAAAGAATATATTGAAAATTTAGCAGACTCAAAATTCACTTTCGATCTACGGCACCTTCAGAAAAGTTCAATGAAATAGGTCATAGAACCAAAATCGGGATGAATCCCAATAGCATTTTTTTGGCTCAATACAATTTTATTTGCTCTAATATGCATACATATATACTATATTTGCACTAAAATGTACCTTCAAAATTAGACGGTATGCCAAAAATATTACCAAGTCTTGAAATATTTGAACTGAAGGATCTATATAGTCGTCAACGAAGTAGGCATCACAAAGTCATGAACAAAGTAGTACTTTCCCTTCGTGTGCTTTCCTTCGATTAAGTCACAAATGTTTATAAATCGATTTAAAAATCTGATTACATGTGTTAACTGATATAAAATAATTCCATATTATTCCTGTATCATACAAAAGAAATATTTTTTTTTACAATCAAATAATTTCAGGCAACAGCCGTAGCCAAGGCAGTAGCAGAAGGAGACGAAAATCCTCATTACCGAGAAGCAATGAAAGTTTTCAAATACGAAATCGACAAATTCATGAACACTTTCAATATAAAAATTGTTACTGGAATTAAAAAGAATTCGAAACAAATCTTAAATGAATTAACCACAAACTTAACAGCTGTATGATCAGAAGAACTTTGTTTCTATGTATTATTCATTTGATAAATCTAGGTTAATAAATTGTGAAAAATAAATAAATGACTTTATTTATTTGCAGAGAATTTTTAATTAAATCGATTATCATCAACAATAACGGGTGTGTCTGCTAAAATGAAATTTTAATATATTTTATCTAAATTTATTATTTTTATTTATATAACTATGTGTTACTTTAAATATTTTACTATAATTATTGTTTCTAAGTGTGTTTTAATTTTTTTTTTTTTTGATTCATTTTTTTAAGTATTTCAATGACAAAATGAGACTTGAAACGTTTGCAAAGTTAATACATTTTTTTTTGTAATTATTTGCTTTAGCTTTTTATTACTTTGGTGAATACCAGAAAAATTTTCATATATATTAGGGTAATCTTTAATATGGATTTTATAGATTTTCAAATCTTCTTGCTCCTAAGGGCTCAAATGCTTGCAAATTGATCAAAAAAATTTCTCTGAAAGTTTTAGCTCTTAATATTAACTCTAACATAGTCCGCACTCCAACCAAAGTTTCTTATGGAAATAACATGGGTAAAATTTCATGTTTTTTTAGAATTTTATAACTTCGACAAGTGAATCAAAACTTTGAGAATAATTGAATGAGAGGAGAAGAATGAGAAACTTTGAGAAGAATTGTATTTGCTTATTTTAATCATAAATAAAATATTTACAACAAAAATTTGTATAAAATAAGTATTTACTTAGGAAGAAGAACCAAGAAACGGTTGGAGTGCGGACTATCTTAAAGTTAATATTAGGAGATAAAACTTTCCGAGTATATTTTATCAATTTGGAAACATTTAATAATCGATATGATATAAAATTTTGCTATACTCGTATATCATTGTATTTGAGAAGTAATTATTTCTCAGAAGACATCAATTGGCAATAACTAGAGGTTCAATAACTGTTATAATGTGACCTCTGAATCTATATTTTTTTCCAAATTTCAAATCTATATTGTTTACAGCAAAATCTACTGTTAAATTAGAAGCACATGAAAGAAAACCATTGCAAACTATTTTTTAGTAAATAATTAATAAACTTCTATATAGGTGTTTTCTCCAAAATTTCACTGAATTTGCCGTTTATGCCAATTAAGAAATTTATCCGTAAAATAGACATTAAAACTATTTTAAACAGTCATCATACCATCCATCTAATAAAAAGTATAAATAGAAAATATATGCTTTGGAAATAAAGTATGTATTTGGGTAATATATAATAATTTTCAGATATATTTAGAAATTATGCTTGAAAAATGCATGTCCATGTTTCTTATCTCAATATAAAATCAATATAATTGTAATACTTTGTTATTGTTTCTATCATCAACAACTTTTATAAATTAAATCAATTTTGCATTCAAGATTTTAGGTATAATAATAAAAGAAAAAAATATTTTATATTTGATGTGGACTTGTTTCAGAGGTCCCGGGTTCGATACCCACTTCGAGCAGCCTGTTGTCAGGCAGCAGTGACAACGATTTTCACTTGGAAATATAGATATCAATATGTCCTCAAGTGAAAATAGCCCTTGCCCGGCATTGCTGCACCAATAAAAAGTCAGCCCTATTAGATTAATTCTAATAACAAAAATCATCAAATATAGATGTCAACCATTGGGTTACCATCTAAAAATACGAAGTAAGATGAAGTTTGAGCCGAACGGCTCATAGGATGTAAGGTTCTGATTACTGTTAATAATATAAAAAAAAATTAATGAAAACGTCATACTGAGACTAATATTGAAGCAACTACTACACAAAAGAACATAATTGTATGCAATATATTATTTTATATTTATTTTCATATATTTCAATGAACAAATTTTCAAGATACTGATGTAAAGTTTCTGGTTTGACTTTTACAATTGTAATTATAAATTCTTAACCCATTGCCATTGGTGTCGACATTCCTGGCATAGATGTGGGCATTCCGTTCATCGATGGCATAGTCGTTCCATCCATACCGCCACTTGGCATATCTTTTGGTACATCCATACCACTTGGCATATCCTTTGGAACATCCATACCACTTGGCATATCCGTCATTGCCGAAGTTGGCATATCTGGCATAGCTGGTGTGCTGAATCCTTGACTAGGCGTATTTGGCATTGATGGAGAACTACCCGATTGAGGAATATCCGATGGTGCATCTGTTTTACCTCGTTTCTTAGAACGTTTCTCATGACTGCCGCTCTCATTTGATCCAGATTCATTGGATTCGCTGCTTTCGGAACTCTGTTTTTTATGTTTGTTCTAAAAAATTTAAGTTTTTTATATTATAAACATTTTTTTCAAAAAAAGGTTCTATTTTATATATTAGTTATTATTATCATATTCTCACATATTTGTAAAATTCGTAAATTTGGTGTTTTATACCGTGCTTGTTGACAAAAAAAATTATACGATCTGAAAGAACCAAACAATAAGAGGAAGTAGGTAAAAGTGTTTGATAACAACATTCGGAATATTTTTGAAAATGTAAAATAACGACTAATATTTTGACCTGAATTTGATTTTTATCGAATGATTTTCAGAAGGTCGAGTAAAGGCAAAATTTTTGTGCCTATTTTTGTGCCAAATCATTTGAATAGCCAAAAAAATATAAAATCGGATTTCATTCACCTTCATGGAGTTAAAAATTTCAAAACACTTCAATGATAAGTCCCGGGTTCGATACCCACTTCGAGTAGCCTATTGTCAGGCAGCAGTGACAACGATTTTC